ACTATTATTTGTCTATTTGTTTTCCTGAGAAACTATTTGGTAGATAACAATATGTAAAACAATAACCATTGATAATTTCCTACCATTTTGTCTGTAATTTGCTAAGTCCCCTCTATTATTATGTTATCCTTCTTTTACTCTTTAAAATAAAAAAAAAAAGTCAAATAAGAATTAACCTAACCAAGGAAGTGAAAGATCTCTACAGTGAAAACTTTAGTACTCTGAAAAAGGAAATAAAAGAAAACATCAAAAAAATGGAAAGGTATCTGCTATGGCTTATATCTAGATGTCCCCCCAAAGCCTCATGTGCTCATAGGTGCGGCTTTTTGGAGGTGGCTGGATCTAGGATGTGTGATGGGTTAATGCTGCCCTACCCTGGGTGTGGGAGGCATCGCCCTCAGGGTGGGGAGCCTGAGTGAAATATAAGGGCAGGCTTGCTGCTGCTGCTGCTTCACTGACTTCTGCCTGACCTGCTTGCCATAAACTGTTTCTCCCCTGGGATGCCCCTCTGCCATGTGCCACCCTGCCTTGGAGCCAGCTGACTATGGACTGAAACCTCTACAAACTGAGCTAAATAAACCTTTGCCCTTTAATTTAGTATTGAGTATTATGTCTCCGCGACAAGAAAAATAAGACAGTATCCCTGTTCCTGCATAGGCAGAATCAATGTAGTCAAAATGCCCATACTTCCAAAACTGATACACAGATTTAATGCAATCCCAATCAAAATACCAACAGCATTCCTCAAAGAACTAGAGAAAACAATCCTAAAATTCACATGGAACCAGAGGTGGCCCAAAATACCAAAAGCAATCCTGGGTAACAAAAGCAGCACAGGCCGGGTATGGTGGCACATGCCTGTAATCCCAGCACTCAGAAGGCTGAAGCAGCAGGATTGTTGAGTGTGAGACCAGCCTGGGCTATAAAGTGAGCTCAAAACCAGCCTGAACTGCATAGCAAGACCCTGTCTCAAAAAGACAAAAAAGGGGCCAGGGATACAGCTCAGAGGCACAAGCGCCTGCCTAGCAAGCACAAGGTCCTGAGTTTGATTCCTAGTACTAAAGGGGAAAAAAAAAAAAAGTAAAGCAGGAGGCATCACAAAGCCAGATTTGAAGTTATGTTGCAAAGCTATAGCTGTAAACAAGGAAAAAACAAAACAAAACACAGCATGGTACTGGCACAAAAATTCAAAGGGGAAAAGGATCAAGAGATGAAGGGAGGGGGCAGGCAAGGGAAGGAGAGTGTTGATTTGTGTCTGGATGTCCTCCCAAAGCCTCATGCAGTCATGGGTGGGCTTTTCGAGTTTATGACTGACTCATGATCCAATGCTGGGATTATGTGCTACACCGACCTTGGGGCAGATAGTTTGCATATGTGAGGGAGAAAAAGAGGCTGCTTGCTGCTGCTCCTCCTTTTGCTCTTGCTGCTTTTGCTGTTTTCCACCACCATGAACTGTTGCCCTCTGCCATGTGCCACTCTGCCTTGGAGCGAGCCGAGTATGAAATGAAACCTCCCAAACTGTGAGCTAAATAAACCTTTCCTGCCTTAATTCTGGGTGTCAGGTATTTTGTCTCGGCAATGAGAGAAAAGTAACCAAGACAGAGGGGACGACAAAAGAATTAAAATGTGTACATGTACCTAATTCCCCATGAGGAAGGTGATCATTACGCACTACAGACAAGTACCTAGAGAGAGTGGGAAGGAGGGAAGGAGGGAAGGAAGGAAGAAAGGAAGGAAGGAAGGAAGGAAAGGAGGGAGGAGAAAAGAAAAGAATGAGCAAGCACATCTCCTTATGCCCCTAAACTGGCCGCGTCTCTGGCCTGAATCTGGCCCCAACACCACACTAAGGACTAGGGGTCTCTCTGGTCTGATACAGGGTGAAGAAATCAAGTTCTCAAGAGAACTGATCTGGGTACACCTTCTAGAACAGTGGTCCCCAACTCTTCTGGCTCCAGGGACTGGTGTCATGGAAGACAGCTATTCCACAGACAGGGGTGAGGGCGATGTTGGCGGGGTGGTTTTAGGATTAGCGCGTAAGGGGATGGTAACCTAAATCCCTCGTGCACACAGTTCATGGCAGGTCCCTGCTCCTGAGGCTCTAGAGCCGCCCCTGTTCAGACAGGAGTGAGGCTCAGGCCGTGATGTGAGTGACTGCAGCTGTGATGCAGATGAGGCATAGCTGCGCGCCCACCGCTCATCCGCTGCCATGCAGCCCTGTTCCCAATGCACACTGGCCAGGTACCAGCCCATAGTCCAGGCTGGGAGATCCCGATTACAGAATACCGTTATAGGCAGCTGAGTCAGACAGAAATATTATAGGCAGTCAGACAGGGCTGGGCCCTTGAAGCAGCCAGTACGGAAGACACTTTGGAGAAAGTGGAAGAGACAGGCACTTCTACCGTGGGCCAGACCTCGAGACAAAAGGATAAACAAATGCATCCACCCACCTCCCTAGGGATGGACCTCAGGGACTGATATTCTAAATAGGTAGTGATCACCTTGATAAAGCCAGGAACAGCCACTATCCCAACCCCCTACAGGAAAAGCCCGTTCTGTATTCATGCCCGCTTGCTACATGACTCGCTTCCCCATTTGATCCTGATTTAATCAATATTACCTGAGCTCTTATGCTCGTCATCTTATTGGCTGACCATAGTTTTGTCCCACCTCGTGCCACCTTGCACTTCCCATTTGCCCTCCTACCTTTGACTCGCCTCACTTCGTGGTTCTGCTCTATAAAATCCCTAGGAAAGACAGGGTCCTTCGCAACCCACTTGGGCCCCCTTCTGTCCCTCTCTTGGACAGAAGCTTTCTTTCCTTCAGTAAGTATATTCTGCTCTCAACCTCCGTTGTTCCTAAATTCATTCTTCGATTTTAGAAAACACGAACTCATCCCAGATGTCTTTCAGGTTGGCAGTTTCTTTCCCCTTTATCAATAAGACTGGCCCAAGTGAGAAGAAACACCAAGCCAGCCGAGCGTCCAGGGCTCTCCAGCGCTCCTCCACTGAGCGCCGAAACCCTCCTCCCTCCTCCCTCTCCTCCCCGGTGCTGGTCCGCAGGAACCATCAGCCCAGGGGAGGAACGCAAAGCGAGGGTGCAAACTGCTCCAGCACCTGGCCTGCAGCTTGCGCACCGTCTCTTCATCCTGCCGAGCCTGGCGCTCGTCCTCCAGGGCCTCCTGCAGCTTCAGGTACATGTCCTCCAGCTCCCGCACTCGCTGAAGGTACTGCTCCAGCTCGGAGGACTTCTGCGCGACCTGCTCCTCCATCTGCTGCCTAATCTGAGGGTGTGAAACGTCATCGTGTTTACACGGGTGCAGGGAGTGCCCCACGCCGTCCTGGGGGCCTGCCCGCCGCCCGCCGCCCACCACCCGCCACATGGTTACCCGGAGCTGCAGCCATTGTGTGGCGGCCTGTCCTCCACTCCTGGAGTGAAGACGAGCAAACTGGCACACACCCAGGAAATGGACTACGACCTACGCTCCTGCTCTGGGGTATTTTCCACCCTTTCCACTCCACACACTGATTCAAGTCAAGAAAAAAGTGCTCCCCTGCAGAATTTCTCTTGAAGTTACATCCCGTCGCAAAGCCACAACCTCTTCACCATTCACTACCTCTGAAAGGAACGGAGTCTTCCCCAGCCGGAACAGCCCAGGTTAAATCTAAGGGAGGGCAGCCTGGCCTGCAAGAGGCTCCTTCGCCTTCAGCCCTGGGGGACTCAAGCAATTAAGTCAGTATCTTAACAAGTGCCCGGGTTTTCCCTTCTGGATCAAAGAGCTTAGATTCCTGCCTTAAATTTAAAAAAATAAAGAACAGGTGTGGTGGTACAAACCTGTAATCCCAGCACTCTGGGAGGCTGAAGCAGGAGGATTGCAAGTTCAAACTCAGCCTGGGCAAGTCAGTGAGACTGTCTCAAAATAAAAAGGGCTGAGAATACAGCTCAGCACAAGGACTCCAGGTTCAATTCTCAGTACCACAAATAAAGTCTAAATCTAAAATACACAGCAGCACACATCTCAGTCTGTAAGGTATTCTACTTGCATTAGCTCGCTTTGTCCTCAGGAGAAGTACAGTGGCAGAGCACCCATAAGCCTTGCGTGTAAGGAGGAAAGCTGGGCGGCAGGAAGGAGCAGAGAGCAGAGAAGGCCGCCTGGTCTGCCTGCCTCTGCTGCGCCTCCCTTCGCCACACACCACAGCTCTCTCAACTGAGCGACCAGCAGGGCGAAAGCAGTGCCAGGAGCACACTTAGGCTCTGAGTCTGGCATCCTCACACCTGGTGCCACTCAGCAGGACACCGCCGGGTTCCACTAACCCAGCCACCGCCCCCAGCAACCTGGACTTTGGGAGCACTGAGGAGCAGCCGACCAAGGACCAGACCCCTCCTTCTGGCTCATTACAGAGGAAACAGGTCAGGAAATCTACGTTCCTTCCTCATTACTACTGATTTTCCAACCAGAACTCTTGAGAATGAGAAGGGACATTATTAATAACACCAGGATGGTGGCACCGTCCCAGGCAAATCAGGACATACAGTCACCCTGACTGCGCATTTATCACCCCTTCCATCAATGTCTGCGAAGGGTCTTAGACACCAGGCTCACATCTCTCATCTTTATATCTCTGGGGCAGAAGTCGGACAATAAAGGGGCAATGGATGGATGGATGGACGGATGGATGGATGATGGATGGATGGATGATGGATGGACGGATGGATGGATGATGGATGGATGGATGATGGATGGACAGATGGATGGATGATGGATGGATGGATGATGGATGGATGGATGATGGATGGATGGATGATGGATGGATGGATGGATGGATGATGGATGGACGGATGGATGGATGATGGATGGATGGATGGATGATGGATGGATGGATGAATACACAACTTCCCCAGTAGTCACTGCAAGTCAGCAGCAAAGCCCTGTGACAAGATGGCCGCTCCCAGCCTCCCGGGCCAAGTGGCTCTCACCAGCTTCTCACGCTCCAGCTCCGAGCTGAACCTGGCCTGCAGCTCCACTTGAGTCTGAAGGCGTTTCTTCTCCTCTTCTGCTGCACGGGAAGCTGCTTCCTCCAGTTTCTACCCAATCAAAAGCCCAGCCCCAGAAAAGTGGAACTGTTACAATCAATGTACATTATCGAGGAAAACGGACACACTGAAGCATGAGAGAAGCCAAAGATCCGTAACACTCAATACAAGTAGAATAAAAACTATCAGACCCATTGGAATTCCATCCCAACAACTACCCAACCAACATACAAAGAAAATTAGGTAAGTGACTGGTTACTGATTAATCTGAACAATGCTCTGCAGACAAAGTTTTAGTATCACCCTTGAGTCAGACTCTTGCAACAGCATTCATGAGGTTTCAGATCCATTTCCTAAGGTCTTTCTGTATAGCTTTGTCCCCTTACACATTATTCCTTAAAACTTTTACCAGAGCTCAAATCCCAGAACTTTTTTACCAGAAGAACAACCATAACTGGTAAAAATTAATTTTAAAAAAATCTTCAAAGTTTCTAAAAAATGCCAGAGGGTGGTGGCACACGCTTGTAATTCCAGAACTCGGGAGGCTGAGGCAGAAGGACTGCCGCAAGTTCGAGGCTAGTGTGAGGTACACAGTGAATTCAAGGCCAACCTGAACTACATAGTGAGAGCCTGTCTTAAGAAAAGTTTCTAAAATTATCCTAAAGGCACATAGTGCTGGAGAACATTTATCTAAGAAAATCTACTAGAGGGGGCTGGGGATTTAGCTCAGCGGCAAAAGCGCCTGCCTGGCAAGCGCAAGGTCGTGAGTTCGGTTCCCGGTACCGGAGAAAAAAATTTAACAAAAAAAAAAAAAAAAAAGAAAATCTACTAGAGATAGGGGTGTCCCTTATTGGTAGAGCACTTGCCTAGCGTACAAAAGGCCCAGGATTCAATCCCCAGCTCTACCCAAGGGAAGGAAGGAGAAGGAAAGAAGGGAGGGAGGGGAAAGAAGAAAGAACTAACCAGACCAGCCCTCAGTAAGAGCAGGGTACACCCTTCTCCTTGCTCACGACATGCATGAGAAAGAAGCTTCGCTCCAGATAGAGAAAACCAAGAACAAGGGATTCGTCTCCCCTCAGCTCACGCCCAGGGCTGCTCTAACTCTCCAGGAGGGGTATTTCTCACCTCCCAGCTCCATGCTACAGAAGGGGCTGAGAGTTCTGGGGCTCTCATCCTCCGGCAGCCCCCACTCACAGGTGGGCTGCAAAGACTGGGTCTGAACACCTTCTCCCAACCTGCCGTGTGGGAAAGCAGCTCCCACAGGGAGAGGGGCTGGGTCGCAGCTCCGCGGCAGAGCGCTTGCCTAGGTCTGGGCTTCAACCCCCAGCACTTCGGGGAGTGGGGGCTGGTAGTAGGAAACTAAGGGCACTGTCAGAACAAGGCAGAGTTGAGTCATAAGGAGCTAAGAGAAGGCTGGTAGCTCCACAAGCACGACTCAACCACAGACCAGTCAGAAGTCTGACAGAAACAGGGAAGGAGAAAGCTAGGAAGCAGAGCCCTCCTGTGGCAGGAACTAGCTAGTCTTAAAGGCTGGCCTTGATGACAAAAGGGCCTGAATTCCAACGCTATCAGACTACGTGGGGCAGTTTAAGGCCCAGGTTACTGTGGCAAACGAAAAGCAATCACTCTGAAATCAGTGAGGTCTAGCAGCGGGCAAGATATCAACAGAAGTGGGCAGCGTAACGGAGAGGAAGGCATTCAAAGGGAACTCCGCCAACATCAGGGTCTCCCCGGGCTGACTGGGTGTGCCAGGCTGTGCCTCTGAGAAGCACAAGCCCAGAAGACAGTGAAGCTGAATCTCCAAACAAGTAAGCAAGCAACAATATGCACTTGGGCGGATAGAATTAGTATCAAGAGTTGTCGCAAAGTGTTTTCTAAAATCCACAGTTTTCAGTAAAAATTATGAGACATTAAAATACACACAGGAAAGTGTAACCTGCACTAGGTGCTGGGCGAAGGGCAACAGGAACTGTCTTTGCAGAGGCCCCTATGGTAAGCTGATCAGATGTCAAAGCAGTTATTATTAAAATGTTCGAAGAACTAAAGAAAGTCATGCTTAAAGTAACAGAAGGAACAACAATGTCCCAGCAGATAAAGAACATCAAGAAAAACACAGAAATTTTAAAGAGAACTAAATAGAGATTCTGGAATTTAAAAGTACAATAACTGAAACAAAAATTACTAAACACTTAACAGTACATTTGGGCTACAAGGAGACTACTGAAGATGGAGCCACAGAAATTACACAATCAGAGGAAGGCAAAAAGGATGAGGAAAAATGAACAAGGCCTCACGGAAATGTGGGACACCATTCTGCACACGTCTCTGCATAAAGGAAGGGTCAGAAGGAGAAGAAGGAAAGAGAAAAGAAGAGAAAACAATTTTGAAGAAATGACTATAAAAATTTCTCCAATTTGATGGGCAACACTACCTTCACATCTAAGAAGTTCAATGGACTCTAAGCAGGAGAAACACAAAGATAGCCACACCCAAAATACAGTAAGACTTTCAATGACAAAGACAAAACAATTCTTGAAGGCAGCAAAAAAGAAAAATCATTTACTAGAGAATTCGAGGAAACTTGACAGCTGACTTCTCAACAGAAACAAGTACCCAGTTCTGGTCAAAATATTGTAAATGAAAGAGCAGTGAGACCTCTCCGGGCTGGAGCACCTAACTGGCAAATCCTAGGATACTTTTTCTTCTGGCCAGGTGAACAGCTGCATTCACGATGGCGGCTGTTCCATCATCCTGGATTTCATAATCACAGATGTACAGACTCTCAGGCCTACTACTTCCACTTCTAACAATTTCTTCTTCAGGCTACCAGAACCCACATGAACGTGGATAAAATGTCACACACCCAGGATAATTCCCTGTGACACTGTTTATTAAAACAACTCAGAGCTGCGCATGGTGGAGCACAACTGTGATCCTAGCACTCAAAAGCCTCAGGCAGGAGGACTATCATGAACTCCAGGCCAGCCTGAACTATACAGCAAGACCCTGTCTCAAGAAAGCATAAACAGATAGATAGATACACACATACATACATACACAGACAGACACACAAATGTTCATCAATGGGGAACTGGTACAGCCATGCAATAGGATATAGAACCATACAATAGAGTATTATACAGCCATAATAAAGAAATAAGGAAGTTGTCCTTACACTGATATAGAAAGATCTCAAAAATACATTCAGTAAAACTAGATACAGAACAGTGAAATCATCACATATATTCTTAGGAACAGAGAACAGATCAGTGGTTTCCAGAGTTTAGGTGTGACGGGAAGGTCTGAATACAAAGGTGAAGCACAAAGGAATTCTCTGGGTATTGCAATTGTGGTTGTTCTAGGAATCTAAGCACATGTAAAAAGAAATCATTAAACAAAATACAGACTGTAAATCTTTTTTTTTTTTTTTCTTTTTGTTGATCTTTGAGACAGGGTCTTGCTATGTAGTTCAGGCTGGTCTTGAGCTTACTTTGTAGCCCAGGTTGGTCTCGGACTCCCAACGATCCTGCCTCAGCCTCCCAATCCTGCCTCAGCCTCCCAAGTGCTGGGATTGCCCAGCCAGATTGTAAATTTTACTGTTTTTTAAATGCAAAAGGAAACAAGACATCTAAGATAGTGGCAATATTCTTTTTTAACCACTTACAAATCCTATTACTTAAATACAGGATGACCAAAAATTGCATATTTTCATTAATTTTTATAAGATAACTGGAAATAGAAAAATGGCAATTTATGAAATTTATTCAGTACAAGAACTGCCTGGTTGAAATGCCATCTGTCTGAGCAACACTTGGGATAGTCGGAATGTAAGCAAACACACTGACCGAGTGACAATGGGGTAGACTTGCTAAGCCGTCACCCTGGGCAGTAGTTTTATCGGTATTAACCATGTGATTCCCTTTATGCACATACTTTATGCTCTTCTCTGCAGGGCACAGCCTCTTGCATAGTTTTAACGAATTACAAAAAGACACCTTGCCCCAGCCCCTCGCCCCATCTCTACCCTTATAACAGTCACTTGTGATGCACGCACCGAAGACAGATGCAGGGATGCAAGTGCTCAGCCTCGCTTATCGAGGGGGTTTTTAAAGAAAATGTTTCATAGCAGAAAGAGGCAAGATACAAGAGTGATGTGGGGGCAAGAACCAGTGAGGAGCCGCTTTTAGAAAAGCACCTGGATGGACAGGAATAAGTGTCTCTAAGACCGTATGCCCACGTGGTTCCCAAAATTATAAAAGTGCTTCTTAAAATATTTGAGTCTACCCAGAGGAAGCTCAGCACATGGTGTGACATTTCCATGGGTTGCAAAAGGTGAACCCCATCAGGAATGTGGGGCCTTAGATTATGAGCCCCAATATCCCAGGGCAAAGGTGCTGGAGGATACAGAAGAGTCAAAAAGCTTGTGGTTCGCAGGTGCGCACTGACTCACAGCACACAGACTCACCCAGGTGTTCAAATAGAGACCCTGCTCACCTGCGGGGACTCCTGTCACCGCCGTAACCAGGAAACAAGCTTTCCCAGTGAACACCAACTCGTGCACACCAGGTACCTAATCACTCAGCCTTGAGATGGAAGGAGAAGCTGACCAGACTGTACCTTTGACTCTGAACAGTAACAAAAACTCACTCTATTCCTCACGCTACAGATGGGAGCTGGGGCAGGGGGACACTTTAAGACCAAAAGCCACTACCCCAGCCACCCAAAAGCAGCCTTGACAACATTCTCAGGGGTGAAACTTCTACCTTTCTCAGACAAAATTCACATGTGCTCATTATTCTTATAAATACACCTCTCCAGTCAATCAGATCTTTTCACTGCCCCGAGACCCTCACACTTTCAAGGCAGGTAAACTGCAGCACCTCAAGAGTGCTCATGGCTCACCAAAGCCTCTCCTCAAAGGTGCACTCACCAATGGATCCAAAGCCCCCGCTCCGGCAGCCTTGGCCTGTGCGCTGAAGCAGGGCCCCCTGCAGCCCCACCCAACACCCACCTTCCTCACGGTCTCCAGCTCCTGCTGCTTGTTTTCATTGGCAGCCTGCAGCTCCTTCATCTGCCGCTCCAGCTCCTCCTGCTCCGCCATCACCTTCTTCCGGAGTTCTTTCCGCCGCTGGCGGGCCTCCTTGTGTGGTGGAGGACTGCACAGCTTCAGCAGATGGATGGTAGAATGAATGGCTGTGCACAGCAGAGAATAATGAGAAAAAATTTGAGAACTCAGCCAGGTGTGCTTGCGCACACTTGTAACCTCAGCACTCTGGGAGGCTGAGGCAGGACAACTGCAAGCTTGAGCCCACCCCAGACAACTTAGTGACACCCCATGTCAAAGTTTAAAAACATGAGAAAGGGCTGGGTGTGGTGGCACACCCCTGTAATCCCAGCACTAGAGAGGCTGAGGCAGGAGGATTGCTGCAAGTTCGAGGCCAGCCTGGGCTACAAAGTGAGCTCAAAGCCAGCCTGAACTGCATAGCAAAACCCTGTCTCAAAAAGACAAAAACAAACAAACAAACAAGAAAAAGGGTTGGGGTTATAGCTCAGTGCAAAAATCCTGAGTTCAATCCCCAGTATTGAAAAGAAAAAAAATTGAGAACTCATACTAATTTTTCTTTTTTTTACATGTAGATATTAACTATAGACAATAAGGAAACAATACTTTTCCCACCTTATATGAGATTCAAAAATAGAACATCAGTGCACTCAAGTTTTCTCGTGGCAAATAATAAAAACTGGCTTACCCTGAATCCATTCTTGTTTCTTCTTCTTATCTGAAGCACTAATTTCAAAGGTCTTATCGAAACATTTTATTAGAAAAAGGCACTTCTTTCCATCCTTGTCAGGCAGAGACTATACAGAAAGCATAATTAGTTCTTTAAAATTTTATTCTTAAGCATCTAAATTAAATTCAGTCTTAATTATTTATACAAATCTGACTGAAACTCAGGTTGGTGAAAAGTAACCTAGAAATGCAAATTATTGATCTGCTACTGCTGTTCCCCAGGCAGCATTACTGAGGTGACACTGACCTAACTGGCCTGCCACATCCGCACTGGAGAGCTACAAGCACCCCACAGAGAGCAGGAGGCCACAACCCGGCTTTCCCGAGCACATTTTTTGCACCTGCCTGCATCCCCTGCAGGAGCCCTGGAAGGTACATTCATGGCATTGACCCCTAGGACATGCAAGGTTTCCAAGCAGGAGTGACACCTACCCCTGGCTACCCTGGCCTCCTCTTCTTGGGCCAGGGGTACCCCTGCTGGCACCTGTGGCCCTGTCCGATGTCCTCCTAAGTACAGTGGCATGGCCTATGCTACTCTTGCGGGCCTCTGCTTAGTTGAATCTAAGCAGATCCAGTTTGTGGACACTGCATACCCCAAAACATTTATCTATACCATTTCACTCATCAAAATGCACGATAGTTTGAGTAACAACACAGGTATTTTAAATGTTCTTCAACAAATACAGACACAGTGGGATGTCATATACAAATCACAAACTTGAAAACTACAAAGAATTGGTGTTTTTGCTGGGCGTGGTAGCGCACCTCTGTAATCCCAGCACTTGGGAGGCTGAGGCAGGAGGATCACTGCGAGTTCAAGATCAGCCTGGGCTACAAAATGAGCTTAAGGCCAGCCTGAACTGCATAGCAAGACTTTGCCTCAAAAAAGACCAAAAAGGGGCCAGGGATATAGCTCAGCGGCACAAGTGCGTGCCTGACAAGTGCAAGGTCCTGAGTTCGATTCCCAGTACCAAAAAAAGAATTGATGTTTTTGAGGACTTCACTTCTCTACAGAATTAGCAGCCATGAATAAAGTATCCTGAAAGTCATTCAAATATGACATTCAACCTTTTTAAATTTATTGAATTTAAAATGCCCGATACTTGAGCATATTCAAGATTTCAAACACTCTCTTACTGAACATTTTTTGCTTTCTCTTTTATGACCCCATTTTATTCAATAAATGATCCTTAACTGTCAAAATAAATTAGAACCGCTATACAAATGTAAGATAGAAAACAAATTCGTATTAGAAAAAGTTGTCCTCTGTCTTTTTCGGTTCAGAAGCGTGAACTTGGGGACTGTGTGAAGGTCCCTCCAGCAGCAGGGGGCAGCAGTGGCTAAGCATGCTGGGAAGCAACAGGAGCCTCACCTCCACGCAGCAGTTCTCATCCAAGACGATGTCCCCCTTCTTATCCTTCAGGTCCTCACTCACATAGTAAGAAATGATGCTGGGCTTTAGGACAAACCAGCGTTCAGTCCAGTTTTTCCGCCGATGACCTTTTTTCATCATGTAACCCTACGAAACAAAGCAGAGTAAATCTTTGTCTTTTACTTGTGCGAGTCAATATTTAAGTTTCATTTAATTATTATACTAACTTCTAACCATATAATCTGTTTAGTCTCTTCTTAGACATTTAAAGCAAAAGCCATCTCACACTGCAACTCATCTGTAGTTCTACATCTGCCATCCTAATGGGTCTAGGAGTCTTCAGTCTCAAACCTCTTTGTAGCATGAAAAACCTATTTAAGTTAAGCCTCAATGTTTACTGATGAACTCTATCAACAAAAGAGAGAATGATATTATTTAATAAAAAAGGAACAAAGGAAATCCAAAATCAGTTATTATTCAACATAATAATGTGAAAAGTTTGAAAGATCCACTAAAAACTACATATACTGTTAAACAAGCATTAAGCCTCAGCATTAAGCATTTAACAAGCATTAAGCTTTAGCAGAAATAGTATTAGCAGTATATATTAGATACTATGCTGAGTACTTAGAAACCAAAGGTAATAGTTTAATAAGATATGCTACTTTTCTACATAGAAGTATCTTTTTCTAAAAGCAAGAGTATTGAGTCAGGTGTGGTGGCGCATGCCTGTAATCCCAGCACTCAGGAGGCTGAGGCAGGAGTATTGCTGCAAGTTTGAGGCCAACCTGGGCTACAAAGTGAGCTCGAGGCCAGCCTGAACTGCATAGCGAGACTCTGTCTCAAAAAGACAAAAATAAATAAATGAATAAATAAATAAATAAAATAAAAGCAAGAATATTTTTTTAATTTTACAAAAATAATATAAAACTGCCAGGTGAGGGGCTGCACAGCTGTAATCTAAGCACTTGGTAATACTGAGGAGGAGAACCACAGATTCAAGGCCAGCCTGGGGTACACAGTGAGTTCGAAGCCAGCCTGGATTACCTGTCTCAAAAACACCCCTCAAAAAAGGGTATATATGTGTTATATGTGTGTATCTCATGAGGAAGTCTAATAATACAGAAAAGGAGTAAGAAAGAAAATAAAATTCATCAAAATCCCACAGTCCAGAGGCCACACCATGAGCACTTTGGTGAGCACCCTTTCGGACGGCTGTACACACAGACGTCCCACCATGTGAAACGCATCCAAGTAGCTACTGGCCTGCAACTTGTCATTTTCACTGACCAATGCCATGGTGCCTTTCTAGATTAATGAACATGGATATACAATGACAGGAAGGTACTTTTAAGAAACAGTTTGGAAATGCGATTAAACAGTTCCTTCAAAACAGTAACATCTCAACTCTTAACTGTACTTCAAAACTGCATCAGTAATGCTTTAAAATAAAAGCTCAGGGCGGGTACTAGCTCAGCGTTAGAGAGCTTGCCTAACTGGTGAGGCCCTGGGTTCAACCCCAGCACTGCAAAAAACAAAATAAAGCGAAACAAAAATAAACTTTAAAAATGAAAGCCAAGGGAAGGGAAGGAAGGGAAAAGGAAAATAAAGGCGAGAATAGAAGGAAAAAATGGAAACAAAACTTTTGTGAAGAAGGGGGGAAGAGGGGTTCAGGGAGAGGAGGGGAATAGGAAAAAAGAAGAATCAAGATATATTATGTACAGCTACAAATTCCTATAATGAATATGATCTAATGTATATCAAAAGTGTACCGATACAATTAACTTTTTTAAAATGAAAGTTTAATAAAAGAGTGTGGAAATGAGAAACTTCAAACTTGTTCTAGCCTGTTTAAGGTTATAAGTGACTTTTACCATCTTTACAGCAAAAATCTTACTTTATTTCAAACATCGAATTCTAAAGAGGAAAAATACAATATCACAGGACTCTTACCTGTTTTAAAACATCTAGTATAAGCTCATTAAAGACTTCATTAATTGCCATAGACACTGTCTGCCGGTCCATGCCTTTGCTAAACTGTCCATTTCCTATCAGCTCAATGAGCTCCCATGCAGAAAGGCCCTCTTTACTGTCATCAAAGTTGACTTTATAATCTTCAAATTGTTCTTTCTGCCAACCTCCTCCCATAGCTTCTGTGAGTTTCTTAAGTAGGTATTCAATCTGTAAAAATATTGTAAGAAAATTATTTCCCAGTTTAAAAATATTTAACACATGTTAAAAAATATACTAACACAGGTATGCATTTATGTTATTTACACTGACATGGTCAATTTAGGAAATATTCTTTACCTTTCCAAAAATGCACTTCTTTAAAGAATCTCCTTTTATCAAGGAGAAGGGTCTGACTAAAATGCCAACAATTTTCTATGAGCCTACAGTAAGTAAAAGAATTGAAAACAGATAACTTAGCTGGAGGTGGTGGCGCACACCTGTATTCGCAGCACTCAGGAGGCTGAGGCAGGAGGATTGCTGCAAGTTCAAAACCAGCTTGGGCTACAAAGTGAGCTCAAGGCCAGCCTGAACTACATAGCAAGACCCTATCTCAAAAAGACAAAAAAAAAAAAAAAAAAAGATAACCTTCTAATAGCCTGATATATTTGTATGCAGAACAAAGCAAACTGCAAATACAAAAGCTAATTCTATAATCTGATGACTGTTAGATATTTCAATATACCCAGAACATTAATCTTACCAAAATAACATGCAAATACTACTAGATTAAATAAACATCGCAAAGTATGATGTACAAGTTAGTCCCCAACCTACCAATTTCCTACATAAACCAATTACTGCATTTGATTCATGCTGTCTCCTTCCATTAGAATACCAACAATGCTGTAAATAATGGTTGAATTTCCAGTCTGAGCTGGAAAAGCTTACTTAATCCTGAAACATCATGCCTTTATATAAAACTAGAAAGTGCTGCTGTTGAAATAATAGCAGCTAAACAAAACAACAAGGCAATAATACTGAGTGGGAAGTTAGTATCTTATTTTCTAGAAAATCTGGGTAGCCTACAGTGTTCGCAAACTCAGCATGTTTAAAAATGAGTAAGTCCGACTGAGAGGAAAAAAGGAAGAGTTGACTATTAGGAATGTAAGTGTGCCTGACAGAGGTGTGTTAGCAGAGTTCTATAAAGTCTGAAATTCTTAAAAATTACTAAAATTTAGGTATCTTTCCTGAATTTGTGGTTCACTTTTTATGGAAATTAGTACAGTGAAAAATCCAAGTTTTTTTAGAAGCCATTTCCTACATAAACTGTAGTGTAAGCATGCACACAGTCACAAATCTGTACTCCCAGAATTGAGGAAGGCTTACTCGCTGCATTGGGTACACCTTCCGTGGAAGCGCCAATGCATGTGATATCCCACCCATGAATATTTTAAATATCAACATAAATATGAAATAAATAAGAAATATGAAAATAAATAGGAAATATTAAAACAAAAAATGAATAAATCATCTCTACCTTCCAAATGTTTTCCCCTCTATTACTGACTTCAGTAGGGAGAAATAGCATTCGTGTATTTCCCTATGCTGAGATTATTGTTCTCTGCCTTTCACACCAAACCACTGACAAAATCTTGCTGATGTTACTTTCCTCGATCACTGTTTTCCAACCCGTGAGTTGTGGCTCAGTATGAAACCAACACAGTGGGTAGTAAACAGAATTGTCTGCAATAGAATGAAAAATATTCAAGTTCAACTACAAAAGACAAATACTGTTCTATGATAAATTCTGTGTGTGTGCCAGGTCCTGAAATAAAATGTTTATTTATCTTCTTATGGGTTACAATCAAAAGAAAATGAAAAACTTTGCCCCAAAAGTTCTTAAATCCATCCCTCCATCTGCCTTGGTTCAGGCCTCCCTCTTGGTATCCTTGCCTCTGAGGCTGCCCCCTTTTACCTCCCTTCTGACAAAGGGCATTTGCAAAACACAATTTGAGCCTGTATTTCCCTAAACCCTTTCCTGACTCCCCGTCCACAAAGATGAAGAGCACGCTCTCTGTGTCCCTGCATAATTATCCCCTGGCCTACTTCCTTTACCCTGTCTTCCAGCACACGCCACCTCACCACCAATACTAAGGATTAGGGGTTGCAAGATTTTACTATGAAAGGCTGAATAGTAAATATTTGGACTTCGTTTATTTCTAGTACATACTCTTTAAAAAAAAAAAAAAAAAAAAAAAAAACCCTTTAGAAGAGCAAAAACTATTCTTAGCACAGTGGCTGGACAAAAACAGGGCTGGATTTAGCCAGCGAGCTGCCACAGACTGTAAGTGGTTTTCCCACCTGACAACACTGTTTTTATGTTTCTCCCACACTACTCTTCTGTCTAGAACTAACCTTTCCCCATCTCTCTACCTAGTGATTCCTACATCCTCTAGGATATTCCTACTCAAGGTAAGCTACGTGCACCGGCATCATCTGGAAGCCTTTGAGAAATGACTCTCAGACCCCAGGGAAGACCCCAGGCAGAAGCTGCATTTCAGCAAGCACCTCAAGCAGCCGCACGTCCTCTCTGGAGCTTGAGACCTCCGATCAACTCTAACCCAGCGCCAGCATTCTTTACCAGTCGCCTGCTTTGTCACTGCACTTAGCATCTTGAAAATGAACTGAAATTTATTTTTAATCATTTGCTTTTCCACCATTCTCTGAATTCCTTCTAGGGAGGACCACGTCCCACTTATCTTTGAATTTCCAGAGTTCAGCATGGTAGCTAAAACACAGCGTTCTACTAATATCTGCTAACCAAAATGAATCAAGTCTCAGTTTTCTTGTCTATGAAAAGGGCAGGACAATATTCATCGTATGGAACTGCTACAGGAATAAAAGGGAAAAACAGTGATTTGCATAATGGTTGGCATATAATAGGTACTCCCATGAATGTTACCAATGTATGCAATATGTTGATTTACAATTGCATTTAACAAAGCATTTATGAAATAAAGTGAGGAACAATGCAAAAGTACATTTACCTATGATTTCTACTGCATAAAGGTTATCTAAATATTTTGACTAATACTTGTTAAAAAGTTTAATTACAAATAGGATTGAGTTAGTTTTTCTTTTTCCTTCTGTGTATTTCCATTAATTTGACTATAGCATTGATTGTGAAATGATATATTTTAACAGAGTGAGAATGGAAATACATACATCCAAAGAAATGTACACTCACAAAATATCACAGTTTCAGAAAGTATCAATAGTCCTTTGACTTAGTGCTCCTTTCGGCAGCACATATAATAGCTCTTTGATTTAATCCAATGAGATACAAACTCCTTTAGGACAAAGGTTATTCTATACCCTAAAATGTATATGTAGTTTACTTGTGGGGAAAACACACTTAGGCCTTTCTTCTCTCTTGTTAAGACACATTACTTATTATAGTCTTGGTTCTTAAATAGAAGTTAAAAAACAGTGGAAGAGACAAAAGGGAAATGATTAAAAAGATGGGAGGAAAAGGAAAAACAGAGATAGAAAAGGGGTCAGAACAGATAAGGGGAAGAAAAGTACTGAAGTCAAAAAGACACTAAAGAGAGACTTTTTTTAAAAAGTCAAAAAAGACAGTAAGATAAACAATTCCTCGAGGGCCAGTAACCCAAAGTCCAATCTCCTTAAGGGAACAAAAAGAAGGGCCCGGGCTGTCTGGTTACAATCTGCCCCAAGGAGACATACTAGCGGTAAGTACGTGTGTGGCCACCTCTGCACAGGATGACAGACTGCAAACGGGTGTGGTGAGGTGGTGGGGCCCACTGGCCGCACACAAGCAGGAAGCAGCCTTAGCTCTGCCTCCGTGAATGCAGTCAAGCCCCTCATACTCCAGCCTTCGTTCCCTCTTCAACATCAGGTGATCTTTAACAACGTCTGTGACTCAGAAAGTGCCTGTCAGTCACCAACTCAGCTCACGGGGCAGCTTCCCAGGTACATCCTGAGCCTGCCGAAGGCGTCCCAGACCCTTCGGAGGCTGCGGTGGGGCACGTATCTGCTCAGCACTCCCAGCGACCGTGCCCGACAGCTAACAAACTGAGATGCATTTCTTGTTGACTTTCAACACAATCATATTCTTATCACAACCCAGCAACTTAAAGACTTTTGACTCATTATACTGGGGCAACCAAACACAAACATTCCCATTCGCCACTATTCAGTTCTACTCAATAATAAATCACGCGCTGCCAGGAGTCTCCAGAGGCCTGCATCAATTCTAAGAGCTCATTCAGTTTCAGGAAGCAGCTTACTTCCTCCTTCCAGGCAAGTTGCACCAAAAATAACAAAGAATAAACTTTCAAGCTGCATGCGATTTTCTAGGCCTTCAGCTCAAAAATTTATGATATTAAAGGTTCTTTCCCTGTCATTAAAAGGGCATTTACTGGGGTTAACAACAATTCAGGTTTTATTTCATTTAGTCTCTGAAAACTACGTCAGGTTTGATTTTTCATTACATCAAGGCAATTCTTCTAAGTCCACAAGCAACACATCCTGTTTTGTTCCTGGTTCTGTGGGAAATGAAAACTAAGTAAAAACTGTACTTCACAGACACATATTTCCAGGAATATCATCTAAAGAAAATTACTGAAGCAACTCAATTGGAAACATACTATTTCCTGAAATCTGTGTAAAAAAAAAAAAAAAAGCCATCTCAATCTCACCATGTAAGTCACTTCAGTATTTACATAACATCTTGGACACTGCTTTCTGGGTGATGGAAAACTGAATCAAATGCAAATTTATTATCTGTACCACTTAATGTTATTCATTCCACTGCCACAGTTACATCTATATAGAAAATAATCGAGGTTTAGTCTTTTTTAAACACTCTGGAGTTTAAAAGTGCCAATTATCATTACGGCAGGTGATTACAGGAAACATAAAAATTACTTTAATTTATGAGGCCTAATTTGTAAGGCCTAAAAACTGTTGGGAGGATTTCAAGTTACACTAAGGTATACACTCAAGACAAATTAAGACATTATTTTTCAAAATTTACTTTTTAAATGCATGTTTTTATTAAAATCGGTAAGTGCAGAACTAGATCAAATACAGTTTTTTAAACACTATTAAATTATTTTGAAAGGAAGCAAAATCTAACAGGATGTGTCCTCCATAACCCAAGCGCAAACTTGGGGGACATGCCAGGGGACACGCCAAGAGCGCAGTGAGCACAAGCCCATGCGCTAAGCCTCAGGAGGCTGGTTCAGCGGCCAAGAACCCCAAGTTAATCTGTTTCATGACCCCTCCTTCTCCCCACACACACTCCGGGCCACAGAGGAATCACCTCTAAGGCTCATTCTAATTCTGCTTCTACAGAGAAGTGCTGAGGCAGTTAAGGCCAGCAAAGCACAGAGCAAGCTCAAACAGTAGCAGGACAAGGGAGGCCGCCTGCTACTCTAATGAATCAAAGAAAAGGCGCTCTTTTCTCCACAGACTCTGAAAGAGGACCAAGACTCCCACGTCAGCCTGCAGGGGTGAAGGTCAGCATGCAGGAGCAGGCTGGCGCTGGGCTGCGCGGATGAGTCAGAGTCACAGCGCACATCAAGGCCCACGTGGTCCGACCCTTCAGGCCACCTGGAGCAGAAATCCCGCGATCCTTAGGCAGCCAGTACTGACCGGTTCCCTTCACAGCTGCCACAGTGATGACTGAGAGCCCGCGACGAGCCCCCCTCAAGCAAGTGCAGCCACATGAGGAATAAACTGAGTCTCCTTGTCAATCACTAATCTGAAGTCAGGACAAGGTCACTTTCAAGTCCACCATGATATTTTAGTGATAGAAAAAAACCATCAAGAGGCCTATTCCACATCCAGTTTCAAAAAACACAACTAAATTTAGAATACTGAGTGGAACTACAAAATGGCTTGCAAGAAGACACTGGAAATCTTATTTACATAGTTCTCCTAAGCACCAGCCACAATTTACAAATCCCACTGGTGTGCCTTTTTCTTATCTATCATTATTCACCACCACCACCCCTTTTTTGGCAGTATTGGGGATTGAACCTAGGATCTTTGCATTGAGCTATATCCCCAACCCTTTTATAAATTTTGACACAGGGTCTTATTAAATTGCTCAGGGTGGATTTGAACTTGAAATCTTTCTGCGTCAGCCTCCCAAAGTGGTAGGATTACAGGTATGTGTCACAACACCTGGTTTTCATTCCCTTCTATATGTCTCTGTACTGAACTAGACAATTTCCCTAGACAAAAATTCCATAACACTGGCCAGGAATATAGCTCAGTGGCATAAGTGCCTGCCTGGCAAGTGCAAGGTCCTCAGTACGATTCCCGGTACCAAAAAAAAAAAAAATTCCATAACACGTTTTCTTTTTTAATTTCTCCCTTAACACGCATGAACAAATAATACAAGCCAGGTGTGGTGGTGCATGCCTGTAATCCCAGCACTCAGGAGGCTGAGGCAGGAGGATCGTTGTGAGTTTGAGACCAGCCTGGCCTACAAAGTGAGCTCAAGGCCAGCCTGAACTACATAGCAAGACCCTGTCTCAAAAAGACCAAAAACAAAACAAACCCAAATAATACAACACTATCATCATATAACACTAAGAAGCTGTTCCCACTAACACAGTAAAATTGCCTTCTCCTGGGTTATCAATGATCACCTAATTGTTAAATCCAAAGGCACCTTCTTACCACTATCTCATTTTTCTGTAGCATGTAACGCCAGTAACGACCTTTCTGCTACTTGGAGCTTTTTGTTTCTTTGGCACCCGTAACTCAACACCATCCCGGCTCTCTGCCTGTCTCACAGCCTGCTCAGCTCAGCTTCCTTTACCAAATCTACTTCCTCCTCCTGCTACAGAAACAGTCCCAAGGTTCCGTCCTTGGCTCTCACAACTCCCACATCAGTCTCTTCCTCCCTAATCTAACCTACTCATGTTCCAGATTCTTCTCCTCTGTCTTTTCCATTCATCAAAACCCTTCCCATCCCTTAATGCCTAGTACAAGCTGCACTTTCTCCAAAAAACGGAACAGCTAACACAACAACCACTTTCTAAGGACCAGGCATTCTTTTTATTCAATCCTCATTAGAACACCAGGAAGAAAATACTGACATTAGCTTTATTTTGCAGTTGAGGAAACTGCAGCGTAAGTAATTGCCCAAGGTCACACTATAGTGAACCATGATGGAGCCAGAACCCAAACCCAGGAAATCTGAGCCCAGAGCCTTTCTCCTAACCAAGGTACATCAAATTGCAACCACACGGTCAAATCTGGCTCATCGCCTGCTTTTCTTATACCCATGATCTAAGACTCATTTTTAAATTTTTAAATGGGTGGTGAAAAAAAGATCAAAATCATATTTCATGACCCAGGAAAATTATAAGAAATTCAAATTTCAACATCTATAAATGAAAGCTCTCTGAGACACAGTTACATACTGTGTGCCACTGCTTCCATCCAGCCGCCGGGCTGAACATTTCTGACAGACAGCATGGCCCTGGAAGCCCACAAGGTCTCCAGTACTTACAGTCTGGCCGGTGACTTAAAAAGTTTAAGAATTCTCTTTTAACCACTACGTTCTATTGCCTCTCTTTAAAAGACTTCCCTGATCTCCTCCTTCCTAAGCTGGAATAAAGTTTCCCCTGCTTTGTATTCACATCACATTCGCATCTCTGACAACAGTAGTCTGCTTTGCTTTATGTTTCACCTAACTTGTATTTCTGCTCAGCAGCCTGTAATGTCCTTGAAGACAGGAAGTAATTTTCACTTTATCTTCCCCTTGCTGCCTCACTTATCGTCACCAGCCAATAAATGTTGGATGATTTAAAATAAAATACTGCAGTGTAAATCTTTAAATAGATTTCAGCTGTTCCACTAATACAAATATGAATCATGTAAGCCACAGACAGACTCCATATTGGTGGATGGTAAACATAGGCACCTACGACAACTTCTGTTAGATGTATGAACTGGTACAGCCTTTCTGAGAGCAACTGTGTCTTGCTCATTTAATTGCTTGTTTAATATCTTTAAGGAGTGCATATCTTTTTTTTTTTGGTGCTGGGAATCGAACTCAGGACCTTGCACTTGCTAAGCAGGTGCCTGTGCCACTGAACTATATCCCCAGCCCTCATTTAATGTCTTAAATGTACATTCCCTAAGATTCAGAACTCTACTGCTGGAAATTTACTTAAGGAAATAAGCAGAGTAGCACACACAAATGTATGCATTACCAGGATTAGAGGCGTTAACACACTTCCTGAGTGCATATTACATGCCAAGCACTGAACTAAGTCCTTTTTGTTTGTTTGTTTTTGTTTTTTTCCAGTACTGGGAATCGAACTCATGACCTCACGCTTGCCATTCCCAGCCCCTGAACTAAGTCCTTTTAAATGAAGAACCTCACAATTCCTAGTATAATCACTATTTGCATTATTTCATAGATGAGGAAATTAAGAGTGAAGAGTTTAAATAATTTGTCCAAGGTCGAGGGATTACAGGTGACTTTAAGTGGGAGAACTACAACTGACTTCAATTTTGCACACTGTTAATCTTTTCCAAATTTTCTACTGTACTGAGCATGACTTACACATATAACATTTTAGGGCAGTAAAATAACATAGAAACCTTACTTCCATTTTTCCTCCCTTTGGAAGCTTAAAGAAAATACCCAGAACAAAACTAACAGTTCTCACTTTTCATTTACTTTTAAAAGTCCAGCAAAAAGTCACCACTCTAGACTTTAAAACACAAATGGTATCTACTAAATAAAACAGCCTTGAGAACATTCTGGATTTTATGTGTTAGCCAGAGAGTATCGCTGCATGATTTAGCCAATTTTTTTTCCCAGTGGGGGGATTAAACCCAGGGCTCTTACACTGAGCTACATACATATCCTTAGCCTTTTTTTTTTTCATTTTGAGACATGGTCTCACTAATTTGCCCAGGCCAGGCTCAAACTTGGAATCCTCCTGCCTCAGCTTCTCAGAGTGCTAGGATTACTAGGATTGCTAGGATCTAGCTCCATTTTTATGGTTTTGCTAACATGCAAAAGTAAAAAGAAAAGTATGCTGTCCCTTGTAATGAATAAAGGGACATGAAATGGATTCATTTGTGATCATAACAATTTAGAGAGGTGGGCTCCCACTCTGCAGATCACTAAGTTGGGGGCTTTTCTGCCTCTTACCCAAAAGCACTAGTCAAGCATCTCCTTCCATATCGACATTGAATCAGCACAAGTACTTCCATGCCAGTTCTATTCACTGCCAAGATGACCATGTAAAAAACTCCCCAGAGCCACCCCTTACCTCTTCCGGCACAATAATTAATGGATACTTGTCCTCAGATAAAAAGTTGAAAATAACCCATATTTTAAATGCATCTTCTTCTACAATGAGCAGGGGACTCTTTGTGAGGTTTTTTTTGACACAGAGGGTCCAACACATCCGATTGAATTCAATCTTGTCAAAGTTGTCTTGGACCTAAAAAAAGAATGAGAAAAAAACTCCCAATGAATTAATCCAAAACAAGGAGTAGATAAGCCAAGTAAAACAGAAGCAGAAAGCCTCCTTCTGGCTTCCACGTTAACCAGTCCCGTTAACCAACAGTCATATCCCACACACCTGCTCTGCTGCTACACTTCAGTACAGGAGCCTGACACTGATCGGTACCTGTCCCTATTCCTAACCAGCCAGATACTGACCTGTCACAGTTACATTTTCATGAGTGCACATTCTCCTCCCAAAGAGGCTACCAACGCTGATACACAGCCGGAGCAGAGAATGACAGCTTCTCAGGATAAACTACACACATCTTCACCTCGTCTGTACTTGTACGGTCAAAAAAGGTATCTTCTTTAGGGAAAAACTATTTACCTGAAATTCTAAAAAGACAGTCTTGCCATTCATTAAGCATTCAGCAGCTACTATTCTCTTGCTCAGTGGCTACCCTATACGGCCAGGGAGGCAAGAATAGGCTGCCTGAGACTGGTATTTTTCTGTTTCTTTTTTTTTTTTTTGAGACAGGATCTTGCTATGTAGTGCATACCTTGAACTCATGTATGTAGTCCAGGTTGGCCTTAAATTCACAGTAATCCTCCTGCCTCAGCCTTCCGAGCGCTGGGATTACAGGCATGCGCTACCATGCCTGGCTGGGGCTGTTTTTGATCTCTAGTAGTCAAGGCTAGTTATTCTCCAGCTAGGTCTTATTTTCAGGGAGACATGGTATAATATAGCGTGGCAAGTGCTACAATAGAGGTAAGCAGAGGATTCTGTGGGAACACTGAGGGGCTAATCCAATCTTAAGATATGGGTGAAGATCTGCAGGCAGAATGGCACAATAGAACTGAGTCCTGAAGGACTTCCAAGAGTCAGGCACAGTATCTGAAAGTGTTTCTTGTAAAATCAGGAACAAGGGCTGGGGATATAGCTCAGTGGCACAGCACCTGGCTGGGAGTGCAAGGTCCTGAGTTTGATTCCTGGAAAGAAAGAAGGAAGAAGGAAGGAAGGAAGGAAGGAACGAAGGAACGAAGGAGGGAAGGAGGGAAGGAAGGAAGGAAGGAAGGGGAGAGAGAAAGGAAGAGAGAAAGAGAGAAAGAAAAAAGAAAGGAAGAAAGGAAGGAAGGAAGGAAGGAAGAAAGGAAACGAAAGGAAACGAAAGGAAGGAAGACGGGGAGGGGGGAGGGGAGAAGAGGGAGAGGGGGAGGGAGGGCGCCATTCCTGTTCAGTACAATAGTTGACATTTTAGCTGGAGCAATTAGACAGAAAAAAAAAAAAATAGAACAAATAAAAGGGCCACAAATAGGGGAGGAAAAAAATCAAATTATCCTATTTACAGATCATATGATCCTATACTTAGAAGTCCCTAAAGATTCCACCAAAAGATTTTTACAACTGATAAATTCAGCAAAACATCAGGACACAAAAATCAACATTAAAAAATAACAGCTTTTTTATACACCAATAATGGACAAGCTGGGAAAGAAATCACGAAAACAATTCCATTCACAGTGGATTTTTTTAAAAACTCCAAATTAACTTAACCAAGGAAGTGAAAGACCTCTACAATGAAAATTATAGAACACTAAAGAAAGAACTTGGGGAAAAAAGAACACTAGAAGATGCAGAGACCACCCATTAATTCTGGATTGCTAGAGTTAATATTGTGAAATGGACATATTACTGAAGATGATCTACAAATTCAGTGCAATCCTCATCAAAATTCCAATGACATTCTTCACAGAATTAGAAAAAAACAAACCTAAAATTCTTATGGAAACACAAAAGACCCAGAAAGAATGCCAAAGCAATCCTGAGGAAAATGACCAAGCCTGGAAGTGCCACAATATCCAGTTTCAAATTATATTTCAAAGCCATAGAACAGAAACACCCCAGGACTGGCACAAAAATAGATACACAGACCAACAGGATAGAGAAAGAAGCGAGGACACAGAATCAAACCCCTGCACCTACATCCATCGGACTTTGGACAAAAAAGCATACATTGGAGAAAAGACACGGCGCTGGGTAAATCGGCTATCCACATGCAGAGGACTGAAACTAGATCCCTATCTCTCACACTTATAAAAACTCAATTTAAAATGAATGACAGATACAGGTGTGACACCTGAAACCTTGGAACTGCTACAAGAAAACAGGAGAAATGCTTGAAGTCACAGGCACAGGCAAAGATTTCCTAAATTGGACTCAACGGTACAGGAAATAACAGCAAAAAACAACAAACAGGACTACATCAAATTAAAGTTTCTGCACAACAAGGAAACAACCAACACAGTGAAGGGATCATCTACAAATGAGAAAATCTTTCCCAGCCACTTTTCCAATAAAGCATTAATATCTGGAACATATAAAGAACTAAAGAAAAACAAAAATAGCCCAATCAATAAACGGGCAAATGAATTAAACAGACACTTCTCAAAAGAAGTACAAATATCCAGTAAATGTATGAAAATATTCAACATCTTTAGCCATTAGAACAATACAAAGAAAAAAAAATCGTCAAAAATATAAAAACAGTAAATGCTAATAAGGATGTAAGGAAAAGGAAGCCTTCTACACTGCCAGTGGCAACGTAAATTAGTACACCAACTGTGTTTCCTCAAAAAAACTAAAAACAGAACTACCACCTGACTCACTATCCCACGCCTTGGCATACACCCAAAGGAATTCAAGCCAGCATGCTGCAGGGATACCTGCGTGCCCACGTTTATTGCAGCACAATTCGCAATAGCTAAGATACGGAACCAATGGATGAATGGACAAAGAAAATGTGATATATATACACAATGGAGAATTATTCAGCCATAGAGAATTAAATTATGTCACTTGTAGGAAAACAGGAACTAGCAATAATGTTTAACAAAATAACTCAGAACGACAAGTAGCACATGTATTTGCCCTAATTTGTGATTTTTTTTTTTTTTTTTTAAAAAGCATGAAAGTACAAGGGTAGTATTACTGGGCAAGAAGGAAGCAATGAGGGAGAGGAGTGTCCACAGGGTAAGACAGTATTGCTATGAGCACAATATGTAACGTGCAGGTATAAAAATACTACATTGAAACCCACTGGGCATGGTGGTACATGCCTGTAATCCCAGCACTCTGGAGGCTGAGACAGGATTGCCATGAGTTCAAGGCCAGCCTGAACTACACAGTGAGACCCTGTCTTAAAAAATTTAAAAATAAATAAATAAATAAACAACACTACACTGAAACCCAATTATTTCATGAAATTAATAGGCACTAGGGGCTGGGGATTTAGCTCAGTGGCAAAAGCGCCTGCCTGGCAAGTGCAAGGTCGTGAGTTCCGTTCCCGGTACCGGAGAAAAACCAAAAAAACAACAACAACAACAACAACAACAAAAATAGGCACTAATAAAAAATATTTTTAAAAAGTAGAAAAGACAAAGATTGGGATAAAGTATATTCAAGACAGTAGAAGAGAGTGTGAGAAAGCCTAGGGGTGGAAACCGCTGTGGTCAGTTTGAAGACTTGTAGAAGTTCAGTGTGAATGGGACACTGGGTACTGGAGGGTGGCATAGTCGGGGTTCCTAGTAAATGCAAGGAATAGAAACCACCTTGGGTTCCTCCAAACAGAAAAGAAGTTTATCGGAAAAACAACACATAACTGCACAGATCTAACATGAGAACTGGAAAATCAAGGCACTGAAACCAGGCCAGTAAGAAAGTCAGCGAGAAGCCAGAAGGGCAGCGAAAAGCACTCACAGAGCAGGCTGGTGGGAGCCAGCACCAGTACACTGAGGACGCCACCACTGGCCCTCTGCGCCGCTCATGGCAGTGGGTCTCCATGAGCCTGAGTCACATCCTGTGTTCTAGATGCCAAGGGGCAGGGAAAATGAGGATCCGAACTTTTCATTTTCTTAGTGAGAGACAGGTCCTGTTCCCCACCAAGACTGTGTGGAATTTCCCAACATCAAAATGAATTTGCTGACCAGAAATGGCAAATGCCCACAGTACGGAACATAACGGAAGAGGAGGCTAGAGAGGTAGATGGAGAGCATGAAGAGCCGGTTTGTTCATGCTAAAGGAGCCAAGCCTTTATCCAGACTGACGCAGCTGGAGGCAGCAGCAATCTGCACTTTCAAAGCCATTTTCTGAGACAGTGTGGAAGGTGTCCCGGAGGAGGCAAGAGTGGCTGGCGGGACAACACGAGCAACATGTTGGAGAGCTACAAAGTGCTGTGTGCACTGTAAGGGAGAAGTCATAGCTGGCTGCAGGAGGATTTCTTTTCTTGACCTCTGACTCGAATGTGGGTGGCAAAACAGTTCCAGGCACAGGAAGATCTCCATGCTCTGCCTTCAGCACCCTGTCTCAGTCTGGCCCATTTTCCCACAACTGATTGCATGAAAGAAAAGCCACAGCAGCCACTTTATCCATCCATTCATTCACTCAGCCCTAACACTATTTATTGAAGACTCACTATATGCTAGGCATTTTATATGCAGCATCTCGCTTAAACTTTGTATTAGCCCTATAAGGTTAAACACTAGCTGTATTCCATAGAGTAAAAATACTCTAGCCGGGTGTGGTGGCGCACACCTGTAATCCCAGCACTCGGGAGGCTGAGGCAGGAGGATCATTGCGAGTTTGAGGCCAGCCTGGGCTACAAAGTGAGCTCAAGGTCAGCCTGAACTGCATAGTGAGACCCTGTCTCAAAAAGACCAAAAAAAAAAAAAAAAAAGAATACTCTGGCAAAATTTGAGTAGTTTTACCAAAATTTGCATGGCTGGTAAGCACAAAAACCAGAGTTTCAATGGAAGTTCAAGTTCTAACTCTTCCCACTTGGCAAACTGCTTGTGGAATCAGTAGATGGAAGCCATCTAAGTGATGGAGGCCATCTATGGAGAACTAGTTTCAAAGGCCACTCCCATCAGCTCTGCCCAAACCCTGAAACACACTAAGTGAAAGATACGCCACACAGGGGAAATGCCATGTGCACAAAC